TTATTACCTTATACTAGTATGGGTTACGTAAATGGTCATAAAATTCCTATATTAAGGGATTCAGGTGCTAGTATTGATATAGTTTTGTCGCAAATACATCACGCCGGAAATGCTGACAGGTGAAAATGTGTGGGTGCAACAGCCATTAGACTTGAATCCAACCTGTTTACCATTGGCTGAGATCGAACTAAATTGCGATCTTGGGCGAGTTAGTAATAACTAAGGCTGCCATTATTAGAAATGAACTCGACAAAGGAAGGTATTTATTAGGCAATCGAACTTTTGCACTGTTGAATAAACAAAGAAAGGAGCCTGATAGTTGTCCTCCCAGGTTTAATGCTGTCTCTACTAGAGCTCAAAGGAAAAGAGAAATAGCTGAAGAGAAGCTCTTGGAACCCGATGAAGGAAGAAAATAAAGCATCCAGATATGTTTTTGAAGGAAGAAGAAGATAATTTACCGGAAACTAAATACGGAAGATGAAGCTCTCATGAAACTGGTAAGTTAAAAATTGACTCAGAAGAAATTGCACAACTTCAGCTTGCTGATAAGGAACTGTCTAAAATCATCCAAGAAGTTAAAGAAGGTACATGCAAAATGAGAAATATAGTCTGACAGGAAAAAGAACTTTTAGTTAAAAAAACGACGGATAAAATGGGCTTTGAAAGACAGCTTGTCGTTATAAACCTGAAAAACTCAAGCCGTCTCAATTATAAAGATGTGCCACGAAGGAACTTCTGGTCATTTGGTTTGGGTGTCAAAAAGACCAAAGACAGACTTGCTAGATATTTTTAACTGGACGAGGTGTTACAAAGAAACTGAAGATTTTGTAAGAACCTGTGATGCTTGTCAGCGCGCTGGAAAAGGAAATGACAAAAAGAAGGCTCCAATGACATTAGTTACAGTAATTTCCGAATATTCACTAAAATAAATGTCGATGCCGTTGGTCCGCTACCTATTTCAAAGACTGGAAAAAATATATTATTACAGCTCTGTGTATGTCGTCCAAATATCCAGATGCTGTCGCGGGGACAGATGTAATTCATCTGTCACCTCAACAGCCAACAGATGTTCGTCATCTGTAATTGATGCTTTCTTACAGATTTTCAGTTCGTATGGATTTTCCAAAAGTGATTCCAAACAGATCAGGGGATCCAAACTCTTTCGTCAGTGCTTTGACAGAGGAATTTTTGGTGCGTTTCGGCATTAAACTGTGCAAGAAGCTCTGTGTATCATCCGCAGAGTAATCCCGTTGAGCGAATTCCATAGAACGTCTTAAAAAGGGTGTTTTGTTAAGAGTCGTATGTATAGGAGCGAACTTCGGATTGGGATTGGGAGAATTATCTACCATCAATTCTTTTTGCTCTCAGAACAGTCACACACGAAAGGCACTGGTTTTACACCAGCAGAACTTAGGTTCATGTCAAAAACCTACGAACGCCAGTCACTTTTCTTTATGAGCAGTGGCTAGAACCGACTGAAGAAAGTAATAATGTTTCAGTTAACGTTTTCGAACTTATTAATCGAATGAAGAAATGCCAAGGAACTTGCCGTGGAGGAAAACCTGAAAGAAACTCAACAACGGAGGAAAACATGGTACGATCGAAACGCAATGAAAAGAGAGTTTGCTAGAGGAGATTTAGTTCTTGTTTTATCAACGAATCGTCAAAATAAACTAGAAGTACAGTGGAAAGGACCTGGAAAAATAGAGCAGAAAAGAAAATTTCAGAAACCAATTATATTGTAAGTTTCGAGGAACAAAATGAGCCAAATCAAGTATATCACATTAACATGCTTAAACCATATTACAAAAGACCAGAAATGATTAATATGATAACTGAAAAAGTGGAAGGAGACTTAGAAATGGACATTCCTCGTTTACCTTCCAATCCAAGTATATTAAATTTCTCGGACATCATAGAAGAGAATGAACTCGAGAAAAGGTTGAAATCCGAGCAAATAGAAGATTTACGAAAGATTTTATGGAAATATTCTGGTTGTTTTTTCAATAATCCTGGACTAACAAACTTAGTTTGTCACGATATTGAGCTATTAAATAAACGAACCAATACAAATAAAGCCATACAGACTGTCTCCCCGACAGACTGAAATTCTCAAAAGGGAGGTAATACCAGAAAATGCTCGATCTTAAAATTATAGAGCCGGGAGAATCGGACTGTAACATCTTCCCATGATTTTGATAGAATCTTCATCATCAAAGGATCCTCGGCCTTGTATTTGATTATCGTAAACTTAATGCTGTTACTAAAACTGAATACTATCCTTTGCCTAATATTTGAAAGAACGTATCGAAACTGTAGCAAAAGCAAAATATATTACCCTAATTAGATTTATCTAGAGGCTACTGGCAAATTCCGTTAGCAGAAAGAGCCCAAAGATATGCAACATTTGTAACTAGTTTTGGAAGTTTCAGGCCTCTACGTTTAACCCTTTGGATTATTAAAAAATGCCCCATATTTTTTTAGCAAAGTTATGACTAAAGTCCTGGCTGCATGCGAAGGTTTCGCTGTACCATACCTGGATGACATTGCCATTTACTCAAAAAACTGGGAAGAGCACCTTAAAAAACTTAACTTCTGTTCTAGAGAGAATACAGAAAGCAAAATTTACGACTAAAACCATCAAAATGTAAATTTGCACAAGATCAAGTGAGATACCTAGGCCATGTTGTGGGACAAGGACAACGAACCCCGGATGAAGTAAAGATCCTGGCTGTAAAGGAGTATCCTACACCTAAAAACCAAAACAGAAGTACGTGCTTTCTTAGGACTGGTAGGGTATTATCGCCAGTAGTACATACCGAGATTTTCGGAAATTGCTTCAACCCCTCACGGACGCTTTGAAGGGGGGGTAACAAAAAAAAGGAAAAAAGGAAATATACAATGGTCTGAAATATGTGACAGAGCTTTTAAAAATTTAAAAGAGTTTGCTATGCAAGAAAAACCAATTCTGTATGCTCCCGATTTTGATAAAAAGGTTTATTATACAAACCGATGCCTCAGACAATGGCATGGGTATAGGGTACTACTATGCCAATTAGATGATGAACAACGTGAACATCCTATCTTGTATATAAGCAAAAAATTTACTAAGTTTGAAAAGAATTATTGTACTACTGAAAAGGAGTGCGCTGCTATCATCTACGCTATCAAGAAACTGCATTTTTATCTGGATGGTCAGCAAGAATTCTTGATTCAAACTGATCATAATCCTTTGGTCGGCTACAATCCAACGCCAAATGTAACTCTAGATTGATGCGCTGGGCACTCTCATTACAACCTTATATAATTTTAAGGTCATTCATCGCAAAGGATCTTTGCACAAGAACGTAGATGTTCTGAGTAGAATTAAGTAATGTAACTCTTAGTGTATGTAACCACGTTTAGAATAATTTTTATTGTTTAATGTATGCTCAACTAATGTATTTGAACGTTCTCCATTTCTTTCTTTTTAAATGTAGTGTAAAAGTATTGTTAAAACTTAAAATTTTTTGGCCTGAAATTTAGAAATTTATAAGAGAAATAACCTTTGCTCTTTAAGCAAATGAGCAAGCCGAGCTTATTAAACTGTCAAATTTTACAGACTTTTCCCTTCGGAAAAAGTCTCTCCGTTGGGGGAGAGGTTGTAACAGCTTTAAATAGTATTAAAATCTTTAGTTTAAATAATTTAAATAGATGAACATTAAGTTATTTGTGAATGGCAATATTCGAAACCAGACTCGAGTGCCACGTGCGACTCTCGCACGAAGAATGTAATTTATTTTTAAATCTTAGAATATGTTTTCTCTTCTGTTTGTATGTCGCCATTTTTTTGAGTGTTAAATAAAGTTATGCTGTGTTCCATCATTGGAATTGCTTCATTTCGTCAAAGAAGTATCACATCTATAATCCGGAAAAATCGATAATCCGGAATCGCCGAAGTCCCGACAAGTCCGGATTAACGATTTTTGACTGTGCTGGTATCGTACAGTCGCAGCTGTAATAGCAGTTACAGCTGCGACTGTACGACTGTACGATACATGGAAATGAACTAAATTAAAAAAATGTCTTTAATAATTGATACAAGAATGAAACAGCAGCGCTTATGAAATTATGAAAGGGAAGTCTTTTAACCCTTAAATGCCTGTAGTTGCCATTTGGCAACATACTCATATTTAGTCACGTAAATCAAATCAAAACACAAATTTTAGCTTACTGCATAGTATAACCAATTGGATACATACTGTTTACGTATTATGAATTTGAAAGTTTCAGTGTGGAGGTACCACTAACGGTGTAACGGTCAATATTACGAGTGCATGTGCAAGATGTTTACGAATTTTTGATTTTGTGTTTGCTGTTATTCTGATGCATTCAAGGTTTTAAAATTGTTTGAAAAAATGTATACGGTATGTATTATTATCTAAAATTGTTATTACACATTTGCCTATCATATTTTTTGATTTTTCAAAAATTCGAATAAAAACTTAGTTCAGACTTTTTTTATTAGTATTTTTCCTTTTTATTTGATATTAAATCTAATGCATTTTTACTTTAAAAATAAAAATAAAAATTCATGCATTTAAGGGTTAAGAAAAATGTATTAACTCAGAGTTGCATGAAAGTATAATTAAACTCTTAAATTAGACTTAAAAAAATCGGAACCTGTTTTTTTCATCATTAAAAATATATTAAAAAATCGGAATTTTTTTTTCATTATTTAGAATCATATATTACTCTTCTTTGTTGTATAAGTCATTTGCGTTAAATAACTTTTAGCTTTTATTAACCCAATCATATCAATATCAGCCTTTTACTTTTTGAGTTATAAATTAAGCTCGGGATAACTATTCATTTTAAATGGAACAAAATATTACCGTCCTTATATACCCCTCCCCCCCCAAAAAAAAACGATTTAGATTCCATTTAAATGCAGCAACGTTTAGACATGGGTAAAACACATAAAAATACCAGAATATTGCGCAAAAAAAAATCAAAACAAAGCATATTAACATTAATATTTATCGAGATATGTAAACAGTCGTTTAAAAACAAAGAACTCGCTTTAAACACAACCAACTGCTTTCGTATACAAATCGTCCTTTCTTAACGATGACATAATATAACAATGTCCTTGTGCCAAATAGTATACAAATGGATGACACGATGCAACGATTCAAAATGAAATCCATGAACAGATAAATGAGATTCTATAAATCACAGTTTCCTTCGTAAAAAAGAACATGCTTACAAAAATAATTGCCAAAATAGGTGGAGTGTTATTTGGACGGAATCAATGGAATTAGCTTTTGTTTTTCTTCCTACAGTCGGGTCATCATCATCAGCCAACTTGTTGGAATTTTAACTTGAGCAGCAACAAGACCGTCAGGAATGTCGCAGCGTACGACACGCGAAGCGACATGGCACCGTTGCATCCGTCTTTGCTGTTGCAAGTGCAGGTCTCCATGAAGACGTTGTAAGTTCCTGTCCTCATTGTACAGTAATTCTCGTTGCCAGTTCCCTCACCCGGGCTGCCGAGAAAGGCACACGTGCGAATGAAACGCCAGTTGCCGTACACTGTAAGAAAGGAAAGACATCAAATCAGTGCATTCATCATCGCTTTGAAATATACAAGCTGATTCAAAATGATTCATGGGATTTCATACGATTTACTTCTCATATTTATGAATATGGAATCTTAAATAATACATAAAATAAAATTAAAACTTCTAAGTATAATATAAAAACATTTTATATGACATCGTTTAGCAACAAGAATAATGATAAGACGATAACCATATGCCCCGCTTTCTTCTATATGTCACTCTAGAGTTTCCCTTAATTTGCATAACAAATTATTTTAAGTTTTGCTACCTTTCCTGAACCTCACATTTTCCCCTCGCATTTCCTCGCCAGGATGCAAATTTAAATTAAGTGAAGTGAGTATTGGGTGAATCTTGTTGTTTATTCAGGGCGTGTTTTTTCTAGCCAGCACACGTTACGAGTCTTTTCTTGCTGTTACGCGGAGTGGCTAATACGCCTTTTTGACCATTTAAATAAGTATAGGGTGCAGCAGCGTTCATAGTAGGATATTAAAAGCACACTATAAGGCAGTAACTGTAATGTATTTATTATCTCTTATGTCAATTAACAGTTAAAGGTATGCCATTTACTAATGTGTAAGTCATTGTCCATTGCATGGATTACTTTTTGAATAGGATGCCCCCTCTGCACAACACATTCATCTAGGCGGCGTTGGAAGCTTGCCATAACTCGGCGTAACGTATTCCCTGGGACATTGCCGACGGCAAGTTCTGGATACGATCCTTCAACTCAGGAATGGTAGCACAACGTATTCGGAAAACTTCTTTCTTTAGGTGGCCTTCCAAAGGAAAAAGTCTGGCACATGAAAGATCAGTGAGCGAGGCGGCCAGGAAATGTCACCAAAACGGGAAATTACTCTACCTGGAAATGTCTGTCGCTATGGTCCATCCATCTGGGACTTTCCCATAACGTCCCAAGTTGAAATGCTGCCAAAATAGACGCTGGGTAGCAATAAAAGAGTAGTTATTCTTGAAATAACTTTCAACAGCAAAGGCACGATGCTGTTCACTCCAACGATCCATATCACTGTCACACTCAAAATGGCAGCTCATTAGTACACGAATGCGGCACGAGCTGCCGCGCATTCATGCAGTACGTCATTGTGCTACGCAAGTCAAATTATGCTATGAAAGCTGCCGCACCCTATATAACGCCAGGTAGGTTGACGAGTCAACCTAGTGTCTTGACTAAAATTTTTAGTGCAGCACTACTCTTTATATTTCAATTTATTGTGTAACGAATCTTAAGTTCCACCGCAAGTTGTCGGTGTTTTTGTAGGAACGAAGTACGTGACTTTTCTCTTCAGAGTTTTACGAATAATAAAGGGTTATTTTTACTTTTCTCGTCAGAGTTTTACGAATAATAAAGGGTTATTTTTACTTTTCTCCTTAGAGTTTTACGAATAATAAAGGGTTATTTTTACTTTTCTCCTCAGAGTTTTACGAATAATAAAGGGTTATTTTTACTTTTCTCTTGTGTTGGTATTCTTTACGCCTGCGCGAGAAGCCGCCAGGTTCCTTAGTAGGATCTAGCAGAGTTTAAGTTACCAAAGAAAGTACAATCCTACACCATCGGTTACCGTCTCTGCAAGAAAAACAGCACAAAGTTTGAGATCAGGCAGGTTTGTGGATCATCATTGGGGACTTCTAACACACATTTTAAACACAATCTCCAGTGGAACAAGTCACATGAAGTAGAATCCAGTAACAGGAAGCTAACTCTTAAAATGAAGTTATTGTTAAACAATGAAATGCAGAAGAAGCACTTCACTAAGAAAACAGCATCAAAATTTTTGACGAGTTCTTCTTCTTTTCATTTAGTTTTTTTTTTCCCTATACATATCAAATTAAAGCATTGTTAATTGTTACGAAATTCTGCCCACCTGAAATCGGATCAAACATTCTGAATCACTCTATACCAGAGAGGTAGCTAGGGTTTTCAGCGCCCAGGGACAACTGGAGATTTCGCGCCCGTTTCTGTTTGCCACGAATGGAAAACACTTTATTCTAAAATTTCGTACCATCAATTTGGCGCCCCCTGGATGCTGCACCCGGGGAAGATGCCCACCCTTGCCCCACCCTAGCTACGCCACTGCTCTATACTAACATCGACATATAGTAATCAATAAATTGGAAGATTGGGAAGCCAAAAAAATGGAAAACAGTAGTTTGAGTTGAGCTCATGTGGAATAGAGTATGACCATTCCACTTAGTGCGCTATCACACATCAATCTCCGTTTTGTACGAAATAACCGTTTCAAATACTTTTTCTAGAGGCTTCAATATTGGATGTAAAACAAGTAGATTTTTTCTTTCTTTCCATAAAATGTTGCAGATTGTACATTTTCACCCAGTCAGCATCGAAGAAAATTTTGAATTGGGTTTTTTTGCTAGTCTCTGTTTGTTTCTCCCTTTTACATGGCAACCCAAAGTGATCCGTGGTGAATGGCTGTTTTGTATCATCTGACAAAGCAGAAAAATTGCCTGTCTCTTCTACTAACTTATGTTATTGAGACTTTGATGGCGTGAATAACTGAAAGGTCTCTGATATCAGAATAACAAATGGCGCAACAGATTATTTCCACACGCAATGTCTTCACCTAAAAATATTTTTTAATTCATGTCTTCGGAGAACAAATGATTCACAAAAGGCTGTACATGAAACATCGATAGGAACAAGAAGTTCGTCGAATTCCGACTAACTTTAAAAGGGGAGCAGAGAATGCTGACATAAAATTGTTTAAGAGTGTTCTTTTCGTACAATATTTGAAATACTGAAATAAATTAATATACTTGTGGTATTACTGGTTTGATTCCTAAATGACTGTAGATCATGACTTCTAACTTTTAAGATACTTAAATATGAAGCATCAACTACATAACAAGTTCCGTTTTCGATATCTTCCTCTATATAAAAGCTGCAGAGGCTACTTGAAGCTTTGTGATGCTACTGCTTCGAGAGCAAAATGAAAATAATTTGACCTTTTCCGAAGTTTTTAAATATTCCGTTTTTAAACGGAATATTTAAAAACTTCGCGCCATCTAGTGTTTTTCACTCACTAGATGGCGCCAGGAGTTAGGGCTAGTGAGAAAATTTTAACTTTTGTGTCTTTTTTGGCATATTAACCACAGTTAGTTACGGTTGGGGTTCGTTCCTGTATGGACATGTAAGAAAAGTGCACTGTTAGGCCCTCTGGCCCATCAGGTAATTTTACAGCCGCAAATAAGAAATAGGCTACGGCTGTAAAATTTATGAAATATCAGTTAAATATTTGCTTTCCTTTTCAATGTTTTTTAGGTAAAGTGTAAGTAGAAAAGTAAACTGGGTTTCCATGGAGAATAAAATCCTTTTTCCGACTGAGACATCAACACGAGTTATTTTATAGTCCCTGAAAACATGAAAAGTAATGAAGTTTTTTCTTATGTTCTCATAATAGAACCTGTACACATGAGTGGATGCTGAAAACTTCGATCAACAATAGTTGACTGATTACAGAAGTAGAAATTTTGAGAACAAATACTACAAGCTCTGCATGCCCACTTTGACGATGATAGTTTGAACAATACGATTATTCCACTACTATCCAACATCTGCAACGAATAGGGAAACACATAAAAGTTCCCATCAACGACAATAAGAATTAATGTGTTGCCATTCATTCATTTTTGTTCACCCGTTATCACATATGTTCTCAATTACGCAAACTCTTTCTCGCGCGTATTGTAGTAGGAGACGAAGGATGGTGCTTCTGTGTCAATTTGCGGAATAGTATAGGAAGTTGTGCCCTAAGCTTAAGCAGAAAGCTAACACCATGATTGTAACAAAAAATTCTTTAGAAAATCATTTTACGCTGCTGGTGGATATAGAAAGGATTATTCTTTGATAAATCCCTGAAAAAGCAAATCCTCAGCCAGGCACTTTATGGCAAGCAACTCCGCCATATGGAGGAACTGCTTCAACAGAACACTTAAGTCATTGACTCGTGTGCATCAGATTGTCTTGTCTGCCCCTTGGTTGTGGGGGCGTTACATGGTTGGTTGACCTCGGAGGTTGTTTGATGTGGGATGGACTTCCCTCGGTCAATACAGAGGGTCAGCGAAGTCAACCTTGTGACTGTTTTTTTGGTGGACGCTTACCGTCCACCACAGTACTTTGAATTTTACATAAGCGTGCATGTGAGTCATTAAAATCCCTCTGGATTGATCAGACGGTGACGCCCCCCGGATCGCCTCTGAAGGTTGAGGCAATAATAAACTGCGTATGGCGGCCTAGTGCTAGCCAGGTCTGAGAGCTCCCTCCGCTGGTGTTCAGTTCAAACCTTAGTATGCAACACAGAAAACTCGTACAAAAACAAATTTCATACCTTTTTGTCGTATCTTCCTGCACATTGTGGCTTTGAGTCCCTCATAATGCGGCAATCTGACAGTATCACAGTCGAAGATGGGAATGGTGGTGTTGTCGAAAGGGTCTACACATCTGGGGTCGGCATCAGAGCGGCACACCCAGCATTTGATGGATGTGGCTGAAAACAAAGAAATTCCATTATTCCATGAAGAAGAACACAGATCATTGAGTTGGTAAGTTTCTTCCTTTATCATATCTCCTAGCAAAAATACCTAGGAAATAATAATACCTTATAACATCTAGGGGAAAAAAAACTGAACAAGTAAAAACTGCAATCTTAAAACTACAGATTACCCCTAAGAAGAATTTACAATTAAAAACATTTTTATTAAACTACATAAAACATTTTAGATGCAAAAACGAATCATACAAATATTTCGTTTCTCTTCTTAAATAAAAGTAAATCTTTATGGTTGAACATGAAAAAAGACTCAAAAAGAATTTCAGATTTAAAAACGCCAATGTTTTTTTTCCTTTCTCTCCTTTTTTCTTTGGGGGGGGGGGACGTAAAACTGTATTTTTCTTTTTTAGAAAATAAAACGATATAAACTAAAAAACATCAATTTATTAAGAAAACTATTGGGTTGGCAACTAAGTAATTGCGGATTTCACTCATAGATGGCTTCAGTTGAATTTTTAGAGCTGCAGACGTAGTACAAATGTAAAACACATTTTGTTATTTGATAGCTGGCAATTGAGTTGTCAATCAGTAAAAAATGTTTTTTGATCGGTTGCGTAGTTTTCGTTTGGCGTTCGTTGAAAAATGGAAAATCAAAAGGAACATTTTCGTCATATTTTGCTTTTTTATTTCCGCAAAGGGAAAAACGCATCGCAAGCTCATAAAAGTTATGTGCTGTTTATGTGACGAAGCCTTAAAAGAACGGCAGTGTCAAAATTAGGTTTGCCAAATTTCGATTCTGGTGATTTTTCACTCAAAGTTGAAAAACGCTCTAGGTCCTCCAGTTGAAGTTGATGACGACCTAATCAAAGCAATAATCGATTTGGATTGTCCACAGTACAACACGTGAGATTGCAGAGAAGCTTCATGTATCACCATATATGCCATTGAAAATCACTTAAAACAACTTGACTTATGTTCAAAAACTCGAATACACGGGTTCCTCACAAAATGAAGGAAACGCATTTAACGCAACGCATTAACAGCTGCGATTTGCTAAATAAACGTAATGAAAATGATCCATTTTTAAAACGACTGATAACTGTCGATGAAAAATGGCTTGTTTACAACAATATCAAGTGGAAAAGATCGTGGAGCAGGCCAGGTGAACCAACTCAAACAACATCAAAAGCTGATATTCATCAAAAGAAGGTTTTGTTATCAGTTTGGTGGGATTACAAAGGAATTGTCTACTTTGAACTCTTACCACCCAACCGAACGATCAATTCTGATGTCTTCATTGAACAACTAACGAAATTAAACAATGCTGTTGAAGAAAAGCGACCCGAATTGACAAATCGAAAAGGTGTTGTATTCCATCATGACAATGGAAGGCCGCACACATCTTGGGTCACTCGGCAAAAATTATTGGAGCTTGGTTGGGATGTTTTGCAACATCCACCATATAGTCCTGACCTTGCACCATCTGATTAATTTTTGTTTCGATCTTTACAAAACTCCTTGAATGGTAAAAATTTCAATAATGATGATGATGTCAAATCGTACCTGATTCAGTTTTTTGCTAATAAAAACCAGAAGTTTTATGAACGTGGGATTATGATGCTGCCTGAAAGATGGCAAAAGGTCATTGATCAAAATGGGCAATAGATTACAGAATAAAGTTATTTAGTTCCATGAAAAAATTGTCTTTGATTTTCTAAAAAAAATCCGCAATTACTTAGTTGCCAACCCAATATATTACTGTTTGGACAAATTTTAAAAATGAGTACATGAAAAGGCTTGCAATCTGCATTGAGGCTGACGACATTTTCACATGATTAAAACGGAAGAATCGGGATAGTTTAAATGGTACAAAAGATATGATAAAGGAAGAAAAAAAAAAAAAATTATGAACAAAAGCATGTTGAGCCCATTAGCTGGGTTTCATGTTGTTTGGACTGTCTGTTCTACCACAAGTACACCTACAAAACTGATTTCTAACATATTTTATAAATAGCCTACATTTACTTAATAATAACATTACTAGTAACAAATTAACAATCAAATATAGTAATCACAGAAGCAAAGAAGCAGCAATGAGTTACCCATTACTATTTCTATGTTAACCATTACTTCTTAACCAGTGGCTGAGTTAACCATTGCTTCTAAACCAGTAGCCCTTCAAACTGAACTTCTAAACCAGTAGGCCTTCACTGTGAGAAGACACCGTTCCGGCTAGCAATAAATATCAACTTCAGAGTTTTAAAACATTCTGCGTAATGCATTTAAAACATTACGTATACTGATTCTGCGTTTTAAAACATTACTCTGTCTCATACATTTTTCAGACTGAAGTAGTCTGAATTTAGTTTTCCTGTTGCATTTTATGCCCTGATTCGTTGTGACTGCAGATGATATCAGCGACCGCATATGAATTTTATCTTCAAGTGGCTCCTCTGTAGGGTTCCAATGACCAATCAGGCGCTCGTACTAGGAAAACGATCCGACTATTAGCAAGTCAGGTCTGAGAGCGCTTTTGGTATTAACGCCACAAAATCACAGCTGATGATTATCCGCAGGAAAAAGCATAATGCTGTAATCAAGAAAAATCTCGCACTATCCAATGAAGTACTGCCGGTAGTTTCTACTGCAAAATACCTGGGAATAACCCTTCAATGACCGTTTTACATGGACACATCACATTAACAATGTGCGTAACAGGCCCCGGTATTATAAATGCATTTCCGATTATTATAGTACCGACCTGGATCTTGCAAGAAAAGTTAAGCTAATTTCTGTCACCGACCAATAATGACTTTACCTCCCCAGCGTGGACGACTGCTACAAATCTGATTCGATAACTACAAAGGTAAGAATAGATAGCTTAGAATTATCATACGGTACTTTCGTGAGGAATAAATCTACATGATATTCGAAAATTGACACTGTTTAAGCATCTTGGAAGTTAACAGGCATTTACCAGCTGCGAAGATTGCAAGGTACGAATGCTTTAATGTATTCCCTATGAAATCTCATGATGCCGCTATTTACGGCCTTTTCGTGCTCATCCTCGAACAAGATTTCTTGAATGCGCTGGACTGCAGTGTCCTATCCCAATCAAAAATAAATCACTTTTCGAACTTTGAAGACGATGATGCTGGAATTTCCTCCTGAACTACCATTCGGATGTCTCCATGCCATAGGGGACCTGGCGTCTTCCCCCTCTCCATCTCCAATGTTGTCTCCTACTGAAGCATTCGAGCACCTGCTAGCAACTACATTTCATGACAGCCGGCAAAAGCTAGACTTTCTAGCTAAGCGCCGCGAACGATGCTTGGCTTCTATGCAATAGACCACAGGTCACAGATGAGTTCGGATCCAGATACCCAGATGACTTGCAAGGACTATTCTGGGTATCGTCTGAAACCCACGATTAATAGACCACAGTTAGCCTTCCCAAAGTCCTTTACAATTTTCAAGCAGAATGGGAACTCTAACAACGCCTCACTTCCCACCCAAGCTAATGGATGGCCCCACGAGAGAACTGCCACATCACCCAATACCAGCAAAAACGAGTTAACGCCGAAGACCGTTAGCTTTACACAACAAATTCCTATGTTTAGATATATTATGATAAAACTTATTAACATTCCATAACACAGTTTTCTCAAGAACAGCACAACTTTCAGCGTCTTAAAATTTAACTCAGAATTCTCCTTTGACTTTTCACAACTTTTCACAACAAGGAAAAAGAAACGTCCTCAATCTCTGGAAAAATTCAATATATAAAGTTCGTTTCCGAATTACAGCTTAAATTTCCCATCAAGTTTTACAAAGTTTACTTTTCAGGCATAATCTGAGTCGTAGACTTGAAATATGGGAAAAAATTTGCATGTCATTTCAGAAAAAGTCCGATTTTTGTGTCAAAATATATGTATGTTAGAACAATGCTATATATAAATCTAATATTTATCTTAAGTCGCGCTTTGGACACATGAAAGACGACAGCTAAATTTCATAAATCGGCCAAGTAGAACGGAAAGTAGAACGGCCGAGTAGCACTCCTTCCCCCTTTTGGGGGAAAAGGAGTAGGAATATATAAAAGGACGAAGCTAAAAAAGGGTCTGCATTGAAAATATTAATGTTTAGTTTGGAAATGGACATCCAAGAATCAGTCTCTAATATATATTTAGCAGTAAAGACTTCTGGCAGCGTGTGCTTCAGTTCTTTCTTGCGTGAGAGGCTTTTTAGAGTTGAAGTTGATTAAAAGCTATCTTCGATCAATTATATCACACATACGACTTAAAGGTTTGGCAATCCTTTCCACTGAAAATGAAATAGCTAAAAACATTCATTCTGATGAAGTTATAATTTTTTTTTCAAAAGTCACACCTCGCAAAAAAAAAAAAAAAAAAAAAAAAAAAAAAAAAAAAATTAACGTTTTTTTAATTGACCAAAAAGTTCAAAACTTTTTCCTAAATCATCACAAATGGCAGACAAATTCGTTTTTTTTAGCCATACATTTCCTACAGGTAAGTTTATTTTTTAACTTCCACCTTCGAAAGAATTAAAAACGTAGGCGTATTGTTAATCGCGAAAATTTTCCGATACCATATTTCAAAGAAATATCCATTTTTGACGCTATCGAATGCAATTTCAAGTTTGCGCGACATCTGTAGTAATGGCAGAATAAAGACCCTTTTTCCAAAACTGGTTGCAAAAGGATTTAAATGGATTCAGAGCGATTTTTTCGTGGCGCTGTACGTAGTATCTCGCATAACAAAAACAAGTACCTCAAAATTTGAATTTTGTATATATGACTTCGTTTAAAAGCAGCCCTCTTTTTTGGTTTAATTGGCCGCACCAAGAGTAATAATACCGTATTTGACGGCTATAAGACGCACTTTTTTTCTAAATTTGGTCTTAAAAAAGTTACCTGCGTCCTTAATACGTGAGGACACATCTTATAGGTGAAAGTCATTGGCAGTCAATAATTGTTTATTTGGCTTTTACTAAACGGAGACTAAAATAAACCACGCTATTGAAACTTTTGTTCCTTGTGTGTGGCCGTGTAAATAAGGGTTGCGTCTTATAT